GTGCGGCTCCTGCAGCCGCGCGAGCGCCAGAGGGGTGCACTCCGAGCCGGCGCCGCGCGGAACAAGTGATCGCTGCTGTCTAGGATTTTGTCTCTTCCCGGGAGAACCGTGACTGCCTTTCCCAGGCGAGCCTTCCTGTGCCGAGCTCCAGAGAACCGGGAGTCTCGGGGTCCTCCCTGGGGCAGCCCCAGTCCGCACCCCCAGGCTCCAGCAGCGAGGACTGTGTCCCCTGGCTGGGCATCGCAACTTGTTCCGTGGGTATTTTGGAGCCTCCGCCCGCGAATCCGGAGTGGTTACTCTTACCCCCACCGCCAAGATCATTTCCCCTCCTCCAGCTGTTGCAGCTCGAGGGGGAAAAACAAACCGGCCCAGGGGCTTCTCCGATTTTATTTTTCGCCCCGCCTGGGAACGGTAAGTATGACACCCCTTTTTTTTTTTTTTTTGCTTATCTCGCCTCTGGGGTTGTTAAGAAACAGTGGACGTTTGAGGGATACATAATATCGGGGATGTGGCAGAAGGGCATGAATGGAAGGCAGTTAAAAATAAACCAGGAGGTGGAAGAGGGGGTGCGGGTGCTGCGCGGCGCTCCGGGGCCAACAGTTGTTATTTTCCCAGCCCCGGGGATCGAGCGAGTGCGCCCTGCCCGGCGTGCCGGAGCGGGAACCCGGGTCTGGAGGCGAGGGCGCGATTAAAGATGTCGTTTCCCAACGAGGTGGGGTTTAGCTTTCGCATCGTTTCGCCTCCTCCCAGCCTCACCGGCTCGGTTCCTCTGGGAACAGCTGGTAAACGGGTCTGAATCGCTGCCTCTGCCGATATTTGGATTTGCGAGCATTTTCCCGAGCGTTTGAGCAACACACAGGCACTGTGTAAATGGCGTGCGTTGAAGTGTATTTCTCACCGTGCTGGCCTTTCTGATTCCCCTTCTTTCTCAATTTCTCTGTCTCTCTCAAATAGGAGGTACCACCACCCTAACACAGTTTCAGGAATTAGCACGGAGGGATGAAAACAGCTTTGTTGTTGGGGGGTGGGGGGCTGAGAGGAGGAGGGGCAGGATGCTTGGCTCTTGTTCGGGGCGAGGCATTGGGGAATAGGTAATTGCAAAATTCTATTAGTTCAATGGTGTTAAAGAGGAAGGGGGATTCCTCTGCAAAGCTCTCCCCCATAAAGGCTCCTGGGAGTCGGCTTGAATAGATTCTCCTAATACAATATCTTGAGAAGGAAGAGCGATTTAAAACCAGCCTGATTTGCTGGGGAAAATTTTTCTGTTTGTTTGTTTTTTGTTTTCCTTTTCTTTCCATCCTTCCTTTTTACCTGTCTTTCTTCTTCTTCTTCTTCTCCTTCTCCTTCTCTTTCTCCTTCTTCTTCTTTTAAATCGAGAATAATGAGGTAACTGGTAGCCAATTAAAAACAAGGCAATTTGCTTTTTGCAGGGTGGAGGAGGGAGATAAACGACAACTAACAAATCTAAATAGATAAACAAATGAGAAATTACTGGTGTTGTGCAGAGAAGGGGTTTAAGTCCCCTGCATAGCTGGTGGCGAATCAGAGGACCCTCTAGCGCTTGACCTTCGGGAATGAGCAGGAAGGGTGTGCATGGTGTAGATACCAGGCACTTGGTTCCACGGGCTTGGCTTGCACAGTGTGTGGTAACTGTTTGGGGGAGTGGGGAGGAGACTGGGCAAACCCTCAGGCTATTTGGCCTGCGTCTTCAAAGGAGGATGATCGGACACTCCAGTGGCTGATACCCCTGGGCGATTTCAGAGGAGGGATTTGGTGACTTCCTGAGGATAAACATTTAAGAGTATGAGATATTAGGAGTCAGGTCAAGGAAGAGATGCCAAGCGAGATTCCCTGTGAGGTGTATTTTCTGGGTTTTGTGTCTCAATCCACTCTTCTCATGAGCTAGGAGCATGTGTATGATAGGGAAGGGGTACGTGATCAGGAAGCCCTCTGCCTGCCATTTCCCTGCCCTCCCCACTTCTTAAAACTCCAGAGTTTAGGTGGCTGGGCTGCCATGCTCAGCGAGGAGCAGCAGGTGGTCAAGAGCTAGTCCTGTTAATGGCTTCAGAAAGCCATTTCTCTCAGGCTTCCCAAGTGTTTCCCGCAATAGAAGCTGGTAGGTGCTAGAAATTCTGTCACGGCCCTCTCCAGTTCTCTGGGTCACTCTGTGCATTCTTGGAAGTTCTATTGGACAGAGTAAGTGGAGAAAGCAAGAGGAGACAGAGTTTCAGGTGGAACTTTTATAGATTCTGGCTGAGGACATGAATTCATTGGACCTGGGAGAGAAAACTGTGGAGGAAGAACCAGGAATG